GCTGTGTCTGAGCGCATAACTAATGGCAAGACTCACACCCAGACACAAACTACCACTGTGACAGTGATTTCTATAGGTAAGATGTGTCTGTGTGTTTGTTACCTACATTACAACAGGTTTTTCTTCTTATTGAGTGTTTTGATTTGTTTAATAATAAATTAGCAAAGTAAATATGTGGATTTTGATCTGCTTGGCTATTGATCTGTTTATTTGCAGATATGTCCATTGAACACTTTAGCTCATAGTGATATATCACAAGAAAATGCTAGACAAATATCCAAAACCTGATATTGAGATCTTGTCACCATTGGGAATCCTTCCTTTGTTTACTGTACCCCTGCAATTAAACCAAACTTTACATTTACAAGCAATGTTCTTTGCTTTTACGTAAGAAATGAAGGGTGACATAACAATAGCCATATTGTGTAGACTGAGAAGCCAGTTGTGGTTTTGTAGCCATGTATTCACATCTCCTTTTTGCTTTCAACACTAATGATTGCTTGATCACCAGCTTCTCCTTTCTTACTTGCTGTCACTGACTATTTTGGATTTTTGTGTCAGACACGCTGATGGGAGTGTCTCTAAGCAGTCGCAAGACTCGGGTGACTGTTGGAGAAAAATTGGAGTTGATGTGCCGGGTCAAAGGTCCACACATGCCGGTAACAGTGACTTGGAGCGTGCAACGTGAGGCTAAAACACCAGACACCATCCTGACACTTTCCCCTGATGGCACCATCAGTTGGTCTGCAGATCAGAACCACTACCAGCTACGAGTAGAAAGCAGAAAAACTGAAGTCATGTACTATCTGCTGGTCATTGGTACCAGCCACAGAGAAGGAGGAAGCTACCAGTGTAATGTGTCTGTCTTACTGAAGAATGTACACAAGGAGTTGAAAGCATCCAATCAGCTTTCTGTGATAGTAATCAACCCAGGTACTGCCAGCTGCAGCCATTTTGGGGCGTCATTAAATAGAAAGAGTCATTTTTTGTCCCTGTTTCCTCAGAAAATAATGAAAATGTTGTCTCCTTTTCTAGTAAGCAGACTTGATGTGTCACCTATTCCTGCGTTGACAACAAACATGAACACTGACATAACAATAACATGCTCCATCGTCAAAAAAACGTCTGAATCATCACTCTATTCTATCACCTGGCTGCATGAGGAAAATGCAGGAAATAAGACCATTGTAAGCTTGGACCGGAATTCCATAGTAACGGAATCCCAGGTGGACCTGCGTCAGCGAATCAGCATGAGGCGCAGCAAAGGACCCACTTTTGAACTGATTATTCGGCAAGCTCGAATCTCAGATAAAGGTTTATATACATGCAAAGTGGGCGAGTGGCTTCAAGATCCTCGTGGTGAATGGTATCTGCTCTCAACAGTGTCCAAAAGCACAGTGCTAACAATTACTGAGCCTGGTGAATACATTTATTTTTCATACTTCAGAAACATGTTCACATGCCATATACGGTTGGCACCACAATAAATTAAACAGACCATTTAAAAATATATAACTTCATATTAATTTTTTTCCATTCTCTAGCCAACGACCTTCGTTTAGATAAGAAAGAGCAGCAGCTGACTGCCAAAGAAGGAGAGGAAGTCAAGCTCAACTGTAGCATCACCTCAGGAGCTTCTGGTTCTTCGGTTTTCTATCGAGTCATTTGGCATTATGCTGCACACAGTTCTTCTTTGAAGAAAGCCTCCCTGGTGGAGCTTGATCACACCGGCCTGGTGAGTTACCCAGAGAACAAAGACATCAGAGGCCTGCAGGAGCGGCTACGCCTGTCCAGACCCACTCAGAAAAGCTTTTACCTAAGTATTCAGAAAGCCCATGAAGAGGATAGTGGAACCTACTGGTGCCAAGTGGATCAATACCAGCTGGATAATGAAGCTCACTGGCAGCTGAAGGCCTCAGACAGTGGTGGTGCTATCAAAGTCAGTGTAAAAGTAACAGGTATGATCACAGTTTTAGAAGTGTTCTGTTGGGCTCCTAATAGTCTAGCTATTTTGTGAGGTGTATGAATTAAGGATACTTGTAAGCACATTTTAAACCAATTAAGAAGCGGGTGATGTGTTTCCCTCAGTTACAAGTTCTGTGTCAATCCATCTGACCCTAATAGTGGTGGATGACATCAAACAAGACTTAAGTTTCAATCTTAAATTCAAGTCAAAAGCTCATGCTTCAGGCCTTTTCTAAATCTGGGTCTGTACAAAGTCATAGAGAGTTGACATCCCCAGAACAGCCATATGAGAGCACACAGCTTTGGATGTGAGTAAAGCAGCCCCAACCATCCACACTTGTGACTGGAGACCTTTAATGGAACTAGATGAACTTCAGTGGGCAGCCAAATATGACTCAAATCAAGATGTGTTTGCACTGTGAAGCATGCAAAGGTTTTTCTAGTCCCCTCACTGAATGAAGATGGAGCTAGAAATGAACAAGAGACTATCTTTAATCTTCTTGCTGTAACTTTGTATCAACCATATATAATTTAGTGTTATCATCTAATTTAACTCTATAAAAAAGGAATCAAATGTAATTCCCAAAACCTTGACAAAATGTTCCACTCTTCTCAGTTGTCTTCTGGGCACCTCTCTTGTTTTGCTGTTGATTGTTTCATCTCTTCTGTTTGGCTGTTTGCAAGCTCTCCCTTGTGTGTCAGTATAACTGAATTTCATTAGGTCTCACTGATTAGTTACCTTAATAAACTAAAGTTTTGTCCTTGTCCTTTTTCACAGAAAACAATCTCTCTGTTTCAAAGAAAGATACAGCGATGAATATAAGCAGAAACCAGGATTTTACTTTCCCCTGTAACATCAACAAACAATCCAGCAATGAATCCAAGTTCCAGGTCACATGGTTTTGGCAGAAAGAAATAGAAACGAAACAGCGTCCCATATTTACAGTCTACAGAAACTCCATTCTGCAACACAGGTTTGGGGAGAATGTTCGCCTGAGATACGACCACCCTGACCCCAGCCAATTCAGCCTCACCTTCTTGAATCCTGGTCCTGATAATAGTGGCCTGTATTTCTGTGAGGTAGAGGAGTGGCTGCCTTCTCTGTCTCGTGGGTGGAGAAAAGTTGCAGTGGAAAAGTCAGGGCATTTCAATGTCAGTGTTCGCACAGAAGGTAGGCATGTCTTAACACACTTAGTCATTTCTCTCAGTAAATATCACAAGATCATCTGGAAATACCTTTCTTTGTCTTCTTCTTTGCAGGTGATGCTAATGCCGTATCTGAATGCAACACAACAACCTATACAATCGTTATTGCAGTTCTCATCATTATGGTGGTGGTTATATTATTACTGATGTTCAAGGTGTGCAGAAGTAAAGGCTCACAAGGAAAAAACTCATCTTCATCTCTCTGGGCTGAATCAGTACCTATGAACAACAAACCCAGTGGAGACGATTGAACAGCAAAGACATTTTTTTTGGTGTCTTTTAGATATGATGCAAAAATATGTAAAATTTTCCATTTAAATAATTGTGTCCATTCATTTGTTTATAACATTCCATGAAGTAGCTCTGCTGATTTACTTTTAGTACAGGTAGGAAAAAAAATTTTCTTTAGGAGTTAATGAAATTACATTTAGAAAGGCAATTCTCATTTTATAGATACTTCTGCTCATTTTTAAGGCCCGAATGCACAAGCAGCTGAACTGTGGTGAGTCTGTGGCTTCACATCTGCGAAGACGTTGCAATGTAGCACGTTTTCATGCAGTTATAAGCATAAATTGTGGTGAATGTCTAACTAGTTCAGCAATTACTCAACCGGGAAGTGCTGTGGTAATGCTCAGAATGACTGTGTGGTCTTGAAATCCTGCTGAGTTGTCCATGTGGCAGACATTTAAATGTTAGATACTGATTGCCACAATGTTCTTAAGAATTTTCACGAGATACTTACTAATGCAAACTTTTCCCTTTTTTGCTATCGTTACAAAATTGTTTTGCTAAAGCTTACGAAATTGTTTGGTGATGACAGTATTTCTCATTTGCATCTGAGCCATGATGCACAGTGTTATATATGTGTGTGTGTGTCTCGTTTTTTTTATGTTTGTCACATGCAATCTAGTATTACATTTTTTTCATTGCTGTGGCTTGAAACAATAATTCTGATTTAAATTTTTAACTGAAGATAAAAAGGCATCTAAAGAATAGACCTTGACAGTTCATCATTAGATAAGATACTGAATATCAATGGATTGTAAAAATGAACTGCACACATATGGTGGACATAGGTATTGGTCAGCCATTTAAAGCATTTTAATTCATGGTTATTCATCTTGCATTTGTCCCACTGGCTGTTAAGTTGAGTGTTACTTTTTATGGATTGTATTTCTCTATAAATTTTATTTTTTCAAAAGTTATAGGCTTGGGCAGGTCTACTGCCCCTGAAGGACTGCTTTTATGTTGATGTGAGTGCTTTCAAAGTGAAAAATAAAGTCAGCACTTTGACGTGTCAATGTGTCAAAATAAAAAATATATAAAAAGACATAAATAATAATAGTGTGTGGCTATGTAGGGGCTCATAGGATGCAATGTACTATATATGTGTGCTGTCTCACACTCTGTCATTCTTTCTCTATTTCACTCAATGCTTCCTGCATCACCCTCTATGAATCTTTAAAAGTCCATCTGTGCAAAAGACTAGAATTGAATCAATTTGTTGCCTTTCCTTTTCAGTGAACAGCTGAAAGAAAAGGAAGGCTTTTGTGTGGTGTTTGTATACAAGTTGAGGTAAAACTTGCAGTGTCGCTCTGAAAGATGTGAGAGACTAAAAGAGCACTTTATGGCAGACTGTAGTTCTCTCGGCCTCAGAGAGATGTGCTGTTTTGAATTTGTTGAATTTTACAAAGTGGTGGACTCGGCTCCTTGGTACAGCCTCCCCCTAAACGTTACTGTAATTTCACTTGCTTGTGTTGCCATGGCAATGACTGTCGGGGCAAACAAAAAACCCCCAAAAATTTGGGAGGCAAATCACTGCACAAATGTTGCATTGACGGATATGATTTTATATAATTTTATATGATAGAGGTCAGTGATATTAAAGCAGTAGGCTTACACATTTCCCCTTCTTTTCATGGGAAATGACACTGAAAGAACACTGCTTTTACAAAAACAATGACTCTGTTTGTCCGTACCTGCATACACAAACAATGAATAGATTTCATATGTCAGTTGTGCATGCTGCCTGTCTGGTTGTTTAGCACACTTAAATGGCAAAGTGCCAGGAAGAATATTAGTGCCACTTGTAATGTTGTGGATCCCGTGGCCTCACCTCTAGCACCACCATGAGGACATTTTTTGGGTGAAATGTCTAGATAACGTTGACGAACCCCTAGGTTTCCATCTAGCTCCAACAACAGGATGTAATATTTCTTTTCCATCGTGTTGGCAATAATAATAAAGACGATCTGATGGTTGTTAACTTCAGTACAGCTACTGAGTTTTGTGGTCCTTCGATATTGAGTCCAGAACCATCATCAGCTCAAGATTCCAGTGTTCAAGATCCTAAAACTGCAAGAAAAGAAATTCCAATTAGTCCAAAATATAAATGTCAGCAATATTCCCCAACATTTAGACTGCAAACATGTTAAACATTAAGTCTGCTAAAACAACAGCGTGTGAGCACTCATAGAAGGTGACTGCAGTTTCCTGAAGGAACAGAAGATGTCCGGGGAAACCCGCTGGTCCTTATGGGTGGCTCCAAACTGATTCCATAGCCTCTGGTTCACAGCCAAGATCTCCATCCCCCCCAATTTTCTTTAACCTCTTAAACCCCAAGCCTACCTGATCTCCTGCCTTTTGCCCCCGTATCAGGGGGCGTTGGGGCTTAAGAGGTTAATCAAATCTATAATTCTGGAAAACTTAACCCTTATTTCTTTCAATGTTTCTGTAAGTGTGTCTTTCACCTGCATTTTGAGCAGCAGCTTGATGTGACAATGAAACATGCAGGTCTGTGAAACACTGTAAGTCTCAAAATAGGACTTTAGGACAAAGACATGATCTAATTGAGATGTAGGAATATCATATTGTTCAGTCTATAGCTCAAAAGAAGACTCAAAGTCCTAATGAAGCTAAGAAAAGGTTTCGTGATACATGATACTACATGCAATTCACCCATTATTAGCAGGCTTCTGCTTAATTATGTGCCAACTTGAACTGGAAAAAAACTCCTGGTGTTATTTATGTATTGTTCCATAGGAGGTGTGAATAAATTGGGAATCTGTGCCATATATTACTTCTATAGATCCCTAGTTTCTGTTATGATTATAATCCATGCTGATTCAAACAGGGACGAAGCATGGCAGTGCAGGGAAAGGTAAAAACACTTTGCATCTCTAGCTGGTTTTCTTTTTTTGCTGCTAATTAAAAACATCACTGATTGGCATGTGGCCTGTAGAAGCTTCACGGTTTAGCCTACAGAGCATTTCTGGTTTGTTTGCAGTTTCTATTCTGTCTCATTCAGAGTGAATTTCTAATATTTTTATTCTTGAACACATGTCCTGAACAGTTTACACTAGAATACATTTCCTTTCATCATTTCAAGTCTCTTTTCTCTTAACCAGAATTTAATATGGTGAATATGGTAATAAGGATAGATGGATGTTTTCTGATTGATACTCACTTCATAAATTTTTTTTCCCCAATACTACTTTCTGTATTTGTCTCACAAATGTGTATTTTGTTTAAGGACTAATACAGTCTCCTACCTAAAATACTTTCTTAGCATTTCTGTTGAATACATCCATTCATTCTCATCTGCATGCCCAATTCAGGGTCCTGGAGGGGCTGGAGCCTTTCCCAGCCACCACAGGGCGAGGTGTACCCTGGACAGGCCACCAGTCTGCAACAGTGCCAAGGTTTTTAAGAGTAGAAACTGCTGCTGTGAAGCTCTTTATGTCTTTTTTGAACATACCTAAGAATATTTTTATGGCATCAGGGTAGAGAATGACAAACACATAAAACGTTATTTTGTTAATTTTATGAACATTTAAAAATAAAGTCCCCCACTATTTTTAAGTAGTCTGCAAATTAAAATGCCGATTTGAATATGACTGGATAAACTGTACGTCTTTATGTTCTCCACTAGGTGGTACTATTGCCTCATTAATATACAGCATCATTCAAACAACCACATTCAAGCTTGCAAAGTTTGCAGTAAGTGGCCGAATTTAGATGGGGTGGTCCTAAGCAGCATAATTAACTACTTTCTCTCAAGCTGCCTATGCAAGAATCTGATCAAGGATGTAAATGTCAATGTCAAAAACGTGCATTACCTGCTGGGAACGCGCAAAGACATGAGTTTCGTTTGCACGAATTCAGAGGTGGAAGCGACTTGCTGTCTAGCAGGTTTTATTTTTAAGACATGTATTTGTAATGTCTAGCGGTGGTCAGTTTTGCCCTTCTCTCTCCCCACTTGTTTTGGGGAAGCAAGAAAAAAAAAAAGAAGCCCAGTTGTCGTTCCAGTTTTTCCACTTCTTCGTACACTGTTTGGCAATTTCCCGACAGGAATTCACTGACATGTACGAGGCCAGGTGTTCTGGGAATCCATCCTACCCGTTGTTTCTACGCATGCGCGCAACACGAATTTCAGTGGCGGACAATCCTACCTATGTGAATATAAGCTACGAACATACTCTGATGGGTAAAATTAAGTGCTAAACCGTCCTACCTTTGTAAATGTGACGTACAAGCATACTTTAACAGCTAAAATTAAGTGGCGAACAATCCTACCTTTGTGAATATGAGCTAGAAGCATCATTTTACAGCTAGAATTCAGTGGAAAATCATCTTACCTTTGTTAATAACAGCTAGACACATACTCTGACAGGTAAATTACGTGTCAAATCATGCTACCTTTGTGAATGTGACCTACAAGCATACTTTAACGGCTAAAATGAAGTGGCAAACCGTCCTGGCTTTATAATTATGAGCTACAAGCATACTCTGATGGGCAAAGTTAAGTGGCAAACCATTATACCTACTTACATTTGTGCTGGAATGAATCTGTGACAACAGAAATGTGCATAAACTACTTGCGGTAGGACGTTTTGCCAAAGTAGGACGTTTTGTCAGAACACCGGAAATGCACAGGAGCAGTCTGAACAGGCCAATCACAATAGTAGCCGTCTCCCTCAGCGGGACGCGCAATAACATTTCCAAGAAATTGCACGTCATTATGTTCCCATTTACGGCGTGAAAGGTTTCAAAGAGGTTCGTAACGTACCTGAAGCGCAGGCAAATCAAGGCATGAAAAGGCACAGAGAGATCACACAGTACACATTAACCAAGGGCTTGATCGCAGCCGAGGACGTACAGTGTTGAGCCTGAAGTTGAAGGCACACGATGAGTTTCGTGCTCTCTCTTTGGAGGGCGGGTGTGATTCTCTGCTTGGGTCAACTTTTATATTGTGGTAAGTAGTACAGTGAATTCCTGTAGTTCCATAATATTAATTTTAATGTCTCAGATAAACCCAAGATGTTGTTTGTGTTGTCTGTAAATGTTTTTTTCACATTTTATGAAATTATATTTAGCAGAAACCTCAGAGTAAACTCACTGATTGATAAATGTTAATTCTTTTTTGGTCTCCATAGTTTAATATCAGTTTAGTTGCTACAGAAAATTAGCTCCTCCAAATTATTTTCACTTTTCACGAATCACTTTTATGACAAAGTAGTAATGTTTGCTTTCTGTGGGGAAAAATATATATTCCTGCATGAAATAAATAAAGCCAATCGAGCCAACAGCACACACCGTTACAGGTGATATCTGACAAAACTTGCAAACATTTTCTTTTAATCATAAATGTCATACAAACATATTTCCACAGGGAAATAAGACCTCAAAAAATAAAAAATGTCAAAATCTTTCTGAAAACCTTGTGTGCACCTGTATATCAATGGATGTTCTATGCACAATTCATGCAGTGTGCCATAACCTACAGTATATGTTAGATACTTATAAATATACTTGTAAATACATGAGTGACACTTCAAAGTTTCAGGATTCAGATGACTTCATTTGTGTTTTGTCTCTGCTTTACTCAGGAGAGGCCAGAGTGAAAACTGAAGTACAAGCTGGGCCTCTGTATCGTGTGTTAGGCTCTCCCCTCTACATCACCTGCAGTGTGAGTGGCTTCAGAAGTGAAAACACTGACAAACATTTTGAATTCCGTATGACGAAGCCTTCAAACCCAGACTTTGAGATCCAAATCATCAGTTCACATGAAGATACTTTTGGATATTCTTCTCACCTAACCCGTGTGAGAAAAAATGAAATTGCTTTGAAACGCCTCTCACCAAACTCAGTCCGCTTCGAGATAAAAAGCCTGCAGAAAACTGATGAAGGGGAATATGAATGTACTGCAGTCAACTTAGAAGGTGCTTATGATGGAGAGTATTCTGCTAAGACAGTCGTTAAAGGTAATCAATCACCATCCTGATTTTCAGTCATAACGCTTGAATGTGTCTTCATGTAGGTATGGTACCGATGATGTCAGAGCATTCATGACTTTTGATTTCTCTGATGTGGTTTCATAGTGATTGAAGACTCCCTGAGTGTCTCATCATCTGCTTCCACACCACTGAGCTTAAACGAGGGTGAAGCTCTGACTTTAACATGCCTGGCCTCTAGCAGCACCAGCCAGCACACCCATCTGTCTGTTGCCTGGTATCTCCATAAAGATGGACAGGAGGACGCTCAGCCTATCATTTCTCTGAATAGAGATTTTACACTGAGCCCAGGCCAGGGGTTTGAAAGGCGTTACCAAGCAGGTCTCATACGCTTAGATAAATGGGGAGAGGCCTCGTACAGCCTAAAGATGGCTGAGGTTGAGCCATCAGACCAAGGTAGGATCTACTGCCAGGCTCAGGAGTGGATCCAAGATCCTGATGGCTCCTGGTACATCATCATACAGAAGAATGCAGAAGAAATGACCCTGACAGTTAAAGCCACAGGTGGGAATTTTACTCAGTCGTGCTATATTTATAACACATCTTGATATTGGTCAGCACATTAATGTTTACTTATCCTATAGACACCTGTGTGGATGTCTCACTGTTTTAATTTTTTGTCTTGAGTAGAGGTGGTGGAGCCATCGTCTCCGTCTCTGGCAGTGGAAATCTCAGCACAGCCGGCAGCGCTGCAGGAGGGGCAGGAGCTGATGCTGTCCTGTAATATAAACACACAGGACGTGGAGAAAAGATTCTTCTCTGTAGCATGGCTCAAGGGAAGTGTGGAGCTGGCCCGCATTGGTCCCACAGGCGTTCTCACTGTGGCACCGGAGTACAGTGTTCGACAGAAAAATGGAGAGCTCAGAGCTGCCCGAACTGGGAACAGAAATTACCGTCTCATCTTAAAGCCTGTGAGAACTGAGGACCAGGGAGAGTATATCTGTACAGTCTGGCCTCAAGAGAGAGGCCAAGATGATACTTTTATTGAGGGAGAACCCAAAGACTCCAGCCCACAGCGGGTCACCGTCTCAGCCACAGGTGTGTCAAAGTGAACACATATACACTCAGTTATTCAGGGGGTTAAGTCACTGTACCTTTACATTGTTTGTCTGCTCCCAAAGAGAGGAGTGAAGAAGTTGTGACAAACACTGCAGTCAAAATATCCACTTCAGCTGTTGTTATAAGTAGCTTCATTGACTACATCCACTGGTCCTACTAAAATTCACTGGACACGGGCACACACAGAGGTTGTGGCACAGTGTGAAGCACTATTAAAATTATTATGTATTAACTCAGTTATCACACTCCAAAACCCACTACACTCAATTCCATCACCTCACCAGGTCCGACCTAACACCCGACCACTTCCAGTGAATACACCGGCTGCTACCAGGAAACCTTAAATATAGCAGCAGGACCAGGGTTAAAATCACTAACACAATATCTAAAACAAAAAAATTTAAATAGGAACCATTTAAAAACTCCAGTGGATAATAATTGGCACATGACTGGAATTCGAAACAGAAGCAAGGAATAATTAGAATCACGCATAGCATTAACACATCATACACGACTGCATTGCTACAAATATGCTCAATAATTAAACATGTAAATCCCCACAGCTACAGGTTAAGGTTCTGAGGAAGGGCTTTAACATAAATTTGCATCAATAAAATAACAAAATGGGTCAAGAGGTACTTCACTAACACACTGTTTTGTTTTGTTTTAAGTTTATGACATAGCTCTAAAAGAAACATCCAGCCCCAGGTTAGTAATTAATCGGCTAAAGTGACTCATCTAGCTGATAGTACATTTACTGCACAAAGATAAGGCCGGTATTTAATCAACCCCGTTCACTGAGCAAGACAAAGGCCTACTCCACACCTGGTGCACAGCCTTTTGTCACCTCAGCACCAGGAACCTGTAAGTTCCCATACACTAGGTTAATTTTATCGAACGTTATTAACTCTTTCTGTTGCCTCATCTCCTCACAGAAAACAGGCTGTCAATCAAAATGCAGCAGGCAGGAAATGTCACCGAAGGGGGCGGGCTGCATCTCTCCTGTAAAGTGGATGGGGTTCAAGGTCAACTGTCTGTCACCTGGCAACTCAAATCAGCACAAATGGCCTCGTTCACCGAGATCATCAGTATAAGTCAGGAGGGTGTTACAGAGATAGCAGAGGAGTTCATGAGTCGCAAAGTGAGGGTGATGCGTCCAGCTACTCACAACTTCACCTTAGAGCTTGATGAGGTCACACTGTCTGATTCAGGAGTGTACCGGTGTGCTGTGTCTGAGCGCAAACCTAACAGCAAGACTCACAACCAGGCACAAACTACCACTGTGACAGTGACTTCTATAGGTAAGATGTGTCTGTGTGTTTGTGTAGTACAAACTATGTAAGATATGATATTACCTTCATTGTAACAGGTGTTTCTATCATAAATTCTAACACTTCTTTGTTAAACTACACTTCAAATATTACAGAAGGAATAACAAAGTAAATATATGGATTTTGGTCAGTTTGAGTAATTAGCTGTTTACTTGCAGATATATTCATTAAGCACTTTAATCCGTAGTGACATATTACAAGAAAATGGCAGACAAATATCCAAAACATACTGATATTGAGAATCTTAATGTAATACTTTGGGAACCCTTCTTTTGTTTACTGAACAACATTAAATCAAACGTTACATTTCCCCACAGGAAATCTAGATGGAATACATCTACAAAGCAAAATCATGTTGTTTAGTGGATTTACTCTTTGCATTGTCATGAGTCAAAATTTTAGGTTTCCACATCTCAACACTCAACAATCAGATTGCACAGTTATTAACAAAAAGCAAAAGTTGTTTTGTTTTGTGTGTTTCTTAGCTGAATTGTGAGTGCGACTTTCAGAAAACAAAACTGTCTTCAGAATGTTTGACTGAATATTATTTGTTGTAGCATTTCAGCCCCAGGGTTTGTCATAGTGAACACACACACTCAGTTATTCAGGGTTTATTTCACTTTCCTTTTTACATTGTTGATTTGAATCTGTTGGTATTAAGGCTTAAACAAAGTGTTAGGTTGCATATTTTTGTTTCTGTTTTTTTTTTTTACTGTTAGGGAAATTATTTTGTCTTCTCAAACACAGCAGTACTATCTGTCTGTTGCCTCATCTCCTCACAGAAAACAGGCTGACAGTCAAAATGCAGCAGGCTGTAAATGTGGCCGAAGGGGGCGGGCTGCATCTCTCCTGTAAAGTGGATGGGGTTCAAGGTCAGCTCTCTGTCACCTGGCAACACAAATCAACACCAACGGCCTCGTTCACCGACATCATCAGTATAAATGAGGAGGGTGTTACAGAGATAGCAGAGGAGTTCATGAGTCGCAAAGTGAAGGTGATGCGTCCAACTACTGACAACTTCACCCTAGCGCTTGATGAGGTCACACTGTCTGATTCAGGAGTGTACCAGTGTGCTGTGTCTGAGCGCAAACCTAATGGCAACACTCACAACCAAACACAAACTACCACTGTGACAGTGACTTCTATAGGTAAGATGTGTCTGTGTGTTTGTGTAGTACAAACTATTCAAGACATATGATATTACCTTCATTGTAACAGGTGTTTGTTCTTATTGAGTGGTGTGATTTGTTGAGCTTTTCTAAAACCACTTTGGGAAGGTTTAACTTTCTGTGAAGTATGATTTGTTGGCTCTGTCAAAACAGGTTTGATGATGCTAATGTTTTCATTGCATCTTGATGATGGACAGAATTACAAATGAGTATATCACAGGGGCAGCTCAGGATTAGCTGTTTCTTTGGACATATAAGTTATAGAGGCAACGGTGAGCAGCATATGTGAAAGGAGGGTAGTGGTTATAATAGGCAAACAATGCTGAATATCAGACTAATAGGCAGGATGGTAAAAGGAATTATTTTAATTTCTTTGCATTTTCATAACTATATGACAGGAGACATTAACACTCAGCGGGTAGGTTACACATTAACAAACCACATGCACAAATGGGGTTTTTTGCCAAGCCAGGCTTTCAGGCAAAAAAGCTATCCTTAGAATGTTTGTGTTTGACTGAATATTTTGTTTTAGGGCAAATGTGGTTTAGGTTTCGCTTACAGTTTTTAAAAATGACACGTAGCTGCATAAATATATGGCTAAAGCTGGCTAATGCATGCATTTATAAGCTTGAGACATAGATGTCATGACACATATTGGATGAAAGTCATTTTTGTGTATTCAAGCTAACATTTTCTTTTTTAAAAGATGAAATGATGCATGATTTTTTTTTGCTTTCAACACTAATGATTGCTTGATCACCAGCTTCTCCTTTCTTACTTGCTGTCACTGACCATTTTGGATTTTTGTGTCAGACACGCTGATGGGAGTGTCTCTAATCAGTCGCAAGACTCGGGTGACTGTTGGAGAAAAATTGGAGTTGATGTGCCGGGTCAAAGGTCCACACATGCCGGTAACAGTGACTTGGAGCGTGCAACGTGAGGCTAAAACACCAGACACCATCCTGACACTTTCCCCTGATGGCACCATCAGTTGGTCTGCAGATCAGAACCACTACCAGCTACGAGTAGAAAGCAGAAAAACTGAAGTCATGTACTATCTGCTGGTCATTGGTACCAGCCACAGAGAAGGAGGAAGCTACCAGTGTAATGTGTCTGTCTTACTGAAGAATGTGCACAAGGAGTTGAAAGCATCCAATCAGCTTTCTGTGATAGTAATCAACCCAGGTACTGCCAGCTGCAGCCATTTTGAGGCATCATTAAATAAAAAGAGTAATTTTTTCCCTGTTTCCTCAGAAAATAATGAAAATGTTGTCTCCTTTTCTAGTAAGCAGGCTTGATGTGTCACCTATTCCTGCGTTGACAAGAACTATAAGCACTGACATAACAATAACATGCTCCATCATTACAAAAACGTCTGAATCATCACTCTATTCGATCACCTGGCTGCATGAGGAAAATGCAGGAAATAAGACCATTGTAAGCTTGGACCGGAATTCCATAGTAACGGAATCCCAGGTGGACCTGCGTCAGCGAATCAGCATGAGGCGCAGCAAAGGACCCACTTTTGAACTGATTATTCGGCAAGCTCGAATCTCAGATAAAGGTTTATATACATGCAAAGTGGGCGAGTGGCTTCAAGATCCTCGTGGTGAATGGTATCTGCTCTCAACAGTGTCCAAAAGCACAGTGCTAACAATTACTGAGCCTGGTGAATACATTTATTTTTCATTACTTTATTACTTCACATGCCATATACAATAAGCACAAAAATAAATGAAACATGCCATTTAGAAATATATAACTTCATCTTCTTATTTCTATTTTCTAGCCCCCAACCTTCGTTTAGATAAGAAAGAGCAGCAGCTGACTGCCAAAGAAGGAGAAGAAGTCAAGCTCAACTGTAGCATCACCTCAGGAGCTTCTGGTTCTTCGGTTTTCTATCGAGTCATTTGGCATTATGCTGCACACAGTTCTTCTTTGAAGAAAGCCTCCCTGGTGGAGCTTGATCACACCGGCCTGGTGAGTTACCCAGAGAACAAAGACATCAGAGGCCTGCAGGAGCGGCTACGCCTGTCCAGACCCACTGAGAAAAGCTTTTACCTAAGTATTCAGAAAGCCCATGAAGAGGATAGTGGAACCTACTGGTGCCAAGTGGATCAATACCAGCTGGATAATGAAGCTCACTGGCAGCTGAAGGCCTCAGACAGTGGTGGTGCTATCAAACTCAGTGTAAAAGTAACAGGTATGATCACAGTTTTAGAAGTGTTCTGTTGGAATGTTAATGTTCTTAATGTTGTAGCTTATGTTTGCATGGATGTTTTTCTCCTCCTCTTTCCTGATTTTTCCTGATTTTTTTTTCCTTCATTAGCCCTATAAGTCTTTAACACCCAAGGTAACATTACTAACGCATTCTAATCTCTTTATTTGTAATGAGAGATTATATCGAAAGAAGAGTTCAGATCAAGGAGCACGAGTATGTTTAAGAGCCTAGAGACAGCTGACATTAGTAAATCATTGGTGATTTGATCAGAACTGTGTCTATACTGTGAAGTATCTAAAAGTTAGAATTAAATATTTGGTAAGGTGAGAATACATTTATAAAACAACTGGAGAAAAACATTTTGAAAGGGTTTACATCAAGTTTCTCAAGAAATGGAATTATCAGGTCTTATCAGGTCTGATACCTTGTTAAACAAAAGTTTTATCCTTGTGCGTATTCACAGAAAACAATCTCTCTATTCCAAAGGAGGAAGCAGAGATGAATACAAGCAGAAACCAGGATTTGACTATCCCCTGTAACATCAACAAACAATCCAGTCATGAATCCAAGTTCCAGGTCACATGGTTTTGGCAGAAAGAAATAGAAACGAAACAGCGCCCCATATTTACAGTCTACAGAAACTCGACTCTACAGGACAGGTTTGGGGAGAATGTTCGCCTGAGATACGACCACCCTGACCCCAGCCAATTCAGCCTCACGTTCTTGAATCCTGGTCCTGAAAATAGTGGCCTGTATTTCTGTGAGGTAGAGGAGTGGCTGCCTTCTCTGTCTCGTGGGTGGAGAAAAGTTGCAGTGGAAAAGTCAGGGCATTTCAATGTCAGTGTTCTCACAGAAGGTAGGCATGTCTTGACACATTTCTCTTAACACGTCATTTTTCTCAGTAAATATCAAAAGATGTGGAAATACCTTTCTTTGTCTTCTTCTTTGCAGGTGATGCTAATGCCGATTCTGAATGTAGCACAAGGACTTATATAATAATAGCTATTGTAATTCTCATCGTCTTAGTTTTAGTCCTATTGCTACTCGTAGTCACAATGTGCAGAAGTAAAGGCTCACTGGGAAACAAGTCAGGGCCATCTCTCTGGGGTGAATCAGTGCCTATGAACACCAGTCGAAGTGGAGATGACTGAACAGCAGAAACTTTTTTTTGTTTTTTTTAAACGCACACATGCAAAAGTTTTCAGTTGGACTCCACCTAGTTTTAGACAAGTGGTCCACCACACTTGTTTCAGAACTCGAGGGGACTGATCTTTCCAAGCTGTTGCACCCAGACTGTTGAATGCACTTCCTTTGTACAGCGTTTGGACTCGGTGGAGACCTTCAAAAAGCAGCTAAAGACATTTTTATTTCGAAAATCTTTTAATTAGACCAGGGCTTGTATGATGTATTTATGACTGTATTGTGTTTTTGATACCTCTCTTGTGAAGCACTTTGCGACATCTGTCTGTAAAATATGCTACATAAATAAACTTTTACATTTACTTTACTGTTCTTTTACTTTCTGCCTTTACAAGTGTCCACTTTATTTGAAATAAACAAACAAAAATCATCTATACAGGCAGCTTACATTTGTGGATCTGTGCAAAGTTGACAGCATAAAATTTGCTTGAAAACCCCACGTGGGCGTGCGACATCATCTGTGAGTACCAGGTGAGTGGTGCACACGTATTCAAGGTTTTGTGAGCGAGGAGAGGTGTTACGTGTAGTTTCTGACATTTGTATGCACAGAAAGGGTTTTTATAGAGAAAATTAACTTAACTTGTGCGTGAATGATGAGTATTTATTTAGGTTTTCATGTACTCATTTGTAAAACAGTTTAACATGTGGTCAGATTGCTTTGTATTTGTGTGTGGATTGGAGCACACGACTGTGAGTCCTCTAAAATTACATACAAATCACTGTACATTGGTGTAAATCTTAGTCCTGTCAGCCTTGGATGTAATCAGGGCCATCCTCACACACATGAGGAGGTGCTCATTGATGAATTGAGAACTATATCTAGTTTTGATTATGTTAACTGTGAAGAAAACTGCCTCGCTTTTGTGTGGAGCCAAATATAGTTGAAATGCACAGGGGCACTAAAAGTGGAAGGGTCATCTCACACAATCTGCTCTTTCAGGTCCACATCATCTTCAAGATTAACAAAGTGCATCAGGAGAGCCCCAGCATTTACTCATTGGTCTATTTTCACTCTACTTTTCTACTGGCAGAGCACCATTTGTTCCTTATTCTTTCTTTCCTTTCTTCGTGTCACCTGTATCTTTTTTTAACATTACTCATTGCAGTCATCTGTATTTCTCCTTTCTTCTTTTTACATCACTTCTGTCTACTGTCTTTTCATGTGTACCTTACTCATTCTGTCTGCACTGTAGAGTCAGTGTTTACCACCTGGAATGCACACAGATGATTGGCTGAGTGCTATCACGTGGGATGGCTTAACTCGCATCAAGTTGGTCTGTGCATTTCTTCAGCCACCGAACCTAGATCATAACCTTCTGTTTTGGCTGTAGGTCTGTATAGGATAGCAGTCTGCCTGTTGGTGACCTCTGGCCAATAACAGTCCATGAAATAGCTCTACCGGTTTACTTTCAGTACAAATACGAATACTTTTGAAGAATAAAATCAGCACTTTGATAAACTAACATACCAAAATAAAATGTGTTGCTCTGCAAATACTCAGACTGCAATGCACTGTATATATATTCTCATATATTTTTGTATAAGTACTAGTGAGATTCTGAGTGTCTGCTGTTATTTGCCTTGGTTGTATGGTTGCTGCACTGGCACAAAACTGTATAAATCCAATCAAAATTTTAATGCTTTTCCTCCATCTGTCTCACACTCTCCTTCTTTCTCTCCTCCTCTTTCCTGACTCAATTTTTTTCCCTTCATCAGCTCTATAAATCTTTAACACGCAACCTGTGTAAGAAAATGGAATAGAAACTACTTTTTGCTTTTGAGGGAACAGCCATAGACATCAGATTACTCTCATATGGAGGGAGGCTCATGTGTGGTGATTGTGTACAAGTTGAGGTAAAACTTGCAGTGTTTCTCTGAAAGATGTGAGAGACTGAAAGAACACTCAGGAACTTTATGGCAGGCTGTAGTTCTCTCAGCCCCAGAGAGATGATATTGTGCTGCCTTTGGTCTTGGGTTTTATCATCCTTTCACAGCCTGGTGGACTGGGCTCCTTGGTACAGCTACCCTTGAAAATTTTGTCTAATTTCACTCCCTTGTGTTTCCATGGCAATGCTTGTCAGTGCAAACAAAGAAACACTGAATTTGGGAGGCAATGCTTGTAACTATGCAGTAAAGGCTAGCAGAGGCAAAATCGCATCCACAGCAGCAGCCATTTGACCTCCGTCTTCATGTTATTTGTCTTTAATATGCCAATGTTTGAGTTTTTAATAAACAGTCAGTTCATACATCTACAGTACAATCCCTCTCTTTTCTCAACTTGTACTTTTTGCCTGCATGTAACTGAACACATTGAGCTGGTTATCGTTATTGCTGTCGGACTCATTCCAGACCTAATTTGACATCAGCTTGATGTACCGGCCTTCATCTGCCATGAAAGTTGATTTATGACAATTGTGCAGCCATTTTTCTATTACAACTTTTCTAAATACAGGAACAGCACTGCTGTGAACTTAAAACACACAAATGCTGTAGTGAAATCAGTGATTTAATAGCAGTAGGCATCCAGTGTCTGGCAAGAACACTCTTACAAAAACCAGTCTCTGTTCATACTCGTTTACATGACAAACTGGCAGTTGTACACTCAACAGTTATACTCTACAGTATCTGGTTTATCAGCATACCTGAATGGCACGGTGACACAATGTATTTTATTTTCACTTTTACTTCTGTTGATCCTGTGACCTCTCTAGCAACACCATGGGGACATTTTTGGTAAAATGTCTCCACAACAGATTTACTCACGTGAACCAGGCTCCCAGTAGTTGGATAAGATTTGGCGTTCATATGAAATAATTTCTGTCCTGTAAAACACACACACATGCTAAAAAGCACAAATGAGCCAGATAAATGATCATTTCTTTTTTTAAACAATAATACACAGAAAACTCCAACAATCAGAACACTCTCTTTGAGCCAGCACTTGGCAACGATAGTCCATATAAACAGTCCAGATAAACAGTGGGTGAGGGGGCTGAGTATGGAAAAGGCATCTGACAAAAAAGGTTTTGCCAAATCAAACATGTGGATCATCAAAATGAGATTTCCATACCAGATTGGTTGGAGCCCTGATTAAGGAATTTAAATGTGGGGGATATGGCTGGTATAGAGATAGAGACCTGGCTAATATAATTAAGAGAAGGGAGGAAGCTAATCTGTGTGCAGAAGATCGGGTGGCAGGGAAGCAAAACCAGGTACAGTGAAGAGGGATTCAAAGTGTTCTACCATAGTGCAGATAGGAAAACAAATAGGGTAGGGTATTCTTGAAGGAAGAGTGTACTCATGGTGTTGTGGAGGTTAAGAGTATCAGACAGGATCATGAGTATGAAGCTAGAAAGTGAATGGGGGATTTGCATTTATGCCATGCTACCAGATTGGATGGCTGTCTTACCTGTGACAAAGACAGCTGTACCAATAAGGTGATGTCTTCACTCGCACATCCTCCTCCCAAGTAAACAGAAATGATGATCCGCTCTCAGCCTTTCTCATATGTAAGGCACAACTCGTGTTTCTAATTAGCTAACAAGCTATGTGCTGTTCCACAAAGGGGCTGGCACAAAAGTAATATTAAAACTCATCACTTCGCTAGAAAATTGTGTATATAATATCAAAAGTAAAAATAATCAATCTGAAGAAAAACATTCCTCCAAAGCAGGGGGGGGGGTTAAGCTTTAGCTTTCAGCTATTGTTAAAACTGATCAATTTTATTCAACTCAATTGAAGTATCTCAATTTAATTATGACATGTTCAGTAACATCATGATGAATTACAAAGCAGCACTAACAAAAGTAATGGAATGAGAATGCTGAAAACAAACAAACAGTTGTTGATTTGCCGTCCTTAGATTAAGTTCTCTCCTCATGTAACAGTAACAGAAATGATGCATTTACAGGTAAGAATGCAGCAAGGAAAGATTAGATAGTAATCTGTAGGATGATTTTGAAAAAGGAAGCACATGAAGGTAGCTTCAATGATTAAATGGTGGGAAATGAAGAAGCAAGAATG